CTAGCAATGGAAGCTTTCAAATTTCTGGGGATCCTTGGGGTCAAGGGATGCATATACCCATCAAAAAGAAAGAGCAGAAATCACAAGCTTGTGTAGAAGAAGCTATCATGAGTTTCTAAGTGTCACAGAAGCGAGGCCTAAATTTCATGGGTTAATCCTATTTAATTTTAATGGATCTACTAGTACAAGGAACAGCTGAGCAATCAGACCTTTACGAAGCGCCATACATACTGACATCGATCCATTAATGTTCGTTTCCTAGCAGCTGCAGCAAGTAAGTGTAAGCAATCAAAATTGTTAAAAATGCTGTTGCTTTGTTTCTTAACAGATAGGATGACTTAAGAGCTTAAATACGAGAAAGAGGGTGAAAATGACATTGTAGCTGGCACATGTTTTAAATGAAAACCTATGAGAAACGTTTGCTTTGCTAAGAGAAAAGGAGAAAATATATTGAATATATTAGGAAGATTAAAAGCCCCATTTCGACTGAACGAGCCTGCTAGATGATGAGACGACTCTAAATCCTTGTTCATGAGCAAACAATTCAGTATCTACTACAGAGGAGTACCTACGCATGTTTCGCATACACACTGTTTATGTGTATGGTAGGTGGCTTTTGTGAATCATGAAAGGAAAGCATCTGAGAGAGCGCAATAGAAGGGACTATGGACAGTTTATCAAATAGCTGGTATATGTTTTAACTGACTTCAGACAGGAACATATGAGCTTTCTACTTGTTTTCAAGGCAGAATAAAATTGTATAATTTTAGCGGCATTAATCCTTGCAGAACAGCTTTAAATCTCCCCAGTGATTTAGCTGGAGAGTCTGCGCAACTAGACAGGCAGTCTGACTTTTCTGTCTTGGTAGGAAGTAGAGGAGGGAGGAGCCATGTTTGGGAAACCAAAAGTGGGGTCTCAGCAAACCAGGTTTCCAAGCTTCGGTCTTTGCTGCTCCAAACCACCCCCCTTTCAAAATGTTTTCTACAATGCACTGGCCTTTCTCATTAGAGCTAACCACAACATTTCCAGTAGAAAATTTTCTGTTGAAAGAGGTCGTTTTGATGAAATAAAAACATTTAATAGTAGCATGCCTGTTGTAGCAAAAAAAAAAAAAAAAAAAATCTTTTGAAGAAACACTGGAACAGAACTTCCATTTTAAGCTGATGATTGGTTTCATCCAAAGTAAAAATAATGATACTCTGTGTTACACTGAATAAAATGTTTAAAAGGAAAACAGAACAAAATACTTTTGATGCCATCACAATAGAATATTTCAATCAACCGCCAAGTGATTTTTAAATTTTGTTTCATGGGAGACTGAAAATTGTTCACTTTTCCTCCATGTCAGGAAGGAAATATATTCAACGTTGGGTAATTTCCCATGGAAAGCAAACACTGCTTACAAGCCAGCCCCAGCTCCTGCTCTGTTCTTGCCCTGAGCCTCTGCTTGTCTGCTGGCAGCTCGTATCTCTGCAAAAAATGCAGTCCCATGCAGTGCCCCGAGGATGGTTACCAGATGGTACAGGTACCATGTGTTAAGAAATTTGGGAAGGTGGTAGGACTGGGGGCCTGGGCTGTTTCCGAGGGGAGAAGTGTTAGATCTGTGGGCCGTGGCAGGATGAGTACGTGTAGGAGACAAGGGCAGAAGGCAGTGGGATGACTCTGGCCTCTTTGGGGGATCAAGGACAGCAGGGTCACATGGTGCTACTTCCCTGTGGGGGAAACACAGGTTTCCCCCATGACCTATGGGAAAGATTGAAGCCCCTGCGGTCCTGGTGCCCCCTTTCCCTAGAACTTCCAAAAGCCTCCTGATACCCCAGGTGTCTTCTCACAAGTCCCAGACCTCTGCAGCTCTCACCTGCTCCCACCCGCTACTGCAGGGACTGGGGAGGCAGCAGTTGAGGCCGTGGCTGGGCATCAGGACCTGGTGACCTGCTCTCCAGTCTCAGCAAAACTTGGGCCATCACAGGGGGGAGGGCAGCTCGCTCTGCGTGAGAGCCATGCATGGGCCTCAGCAGAAAGAGCTGCCTTCTTTGCAAGTGCCAGGTTGGAGGAGTGAAGGCTGCAGGGTGTTAAATGTTGGGAGGAACCAATGGGAGCATTTGCAAATGCTTCCCCTGCCAGGACCAGCAGAGCGAACCTTTCTCTTAAACAACCATGGGAATCATTTGCTGGCCATGTTGCAGGTTTGTTGTGTCAAGGACAGAGCCTAAAGTTTGATTATTGACGTGTGGATGAAGGGGAATTTGTTGTCCCTTTATGTGCACATTTGGATGCCCCTCCAGGCCTGTTCCTGGCAGAGCTGCCCCAAGCTGGGCCTGTGGGGTTCTGGGGGAGTTTCATGCCCAGAGGCAGAGGACAGGGAGCCCCTTTGCTCCTGGCTCCCTCTTTGGGAAACGTGACCTGCAAGTGAAGCAGGCACCGGCCAGCCCTCCTGGCTGGGTCTTCCATAACGGACATGCCTCATGGATAAACACACAACGCCGGCAAATAACCAGCTGCGGGACAGTAAAAAAAAGTGCAAATATTGACACAGGGAGAAGACACCCCTGAGGCAGCATTCACTGCAAACCCTTCTCTGAATGAGCAATAGTTAAATGTTTGTCCTTGCCTCTTTCTTTCAAAAGTAGGGCAAATATCTATAGAGTTCCCAGCGGGGAGGTAATCTAACTTTAACTTTCATACAGTCAAGTAAAACACCCGAGACCTGCGTTAGGGATGCAAGCAGGTCGTCTGAATTATGATTATTCAATCTGGTATTATTTTAATCTGGCATGCCTCTCACGTGCTTCATTTAGCTTCATCTTGACCTGAAAACTGTAATCTCAATGCCTTTACCCTTACAGGTGATTTATCTTGTTGCGGTATCTTTTCTTTTTTTTTTTTCTTTTTAAAAATACAAATATTTATTTGAATAGCAAAACCCGGCCCGTTAGGCAGACCGGCACATTTCACTGCCTCGGGTCTCCCGAGCGTGGTCCAAGCCCCCTTCGAGCAGCAGCCTCTCGCTTTTGCTCTCGCTCTTGCTCGCTGTGGCAGGAAGAGAACGCACTAAGAGCGGCGGGGGGTGAGGGCGAACGCCTCCCCTTGCAGCCGCAGCGCGCTCCGGGTGATGCTTCCCTGCTCGCTTACAAGACAATAGCCGAAGAAATTAAGGAGGGGGAGAAAATGACTGAGCCTTCTGTATGAAATAATGGATGAGCCCGGGATGACCTGTTTTTTTCCTTGCGGTGGAGCGGTGCTGAAGACAGAGGGCACCAGCGCCCAGCCCACAG